AAAAAAAAAACTTACCAAAAGGCAAAAATTTGTGAAATATATACAGTTTTTGTTGGAGTGTAAAAATTGGGCCTCGGGGAAAAAATATCAGTTTATTGGATTGAGGTTACCTTAATAAATTAATTCTTGATACAATCACGTTTTAATGAAGTTACTCCAATAATAGCCAGCGACAAAATGCCCGAGAAACAAGAATCTTAACTCCACCAAACTTCTTCAAAAAAAAACTTCAAGTTTCACTTCACTACTATAGCAGATTAATAAATATATTATAAGCTGATACATAACAAGCTTGCAGTGGCTGAAGTTAAGACATAGATGGCGTTGCCAAAAAAGTTAAAGTAAATTGCCTATTCTACTGTGAACGAAATTTATAATTTTCAGGGCAAGCGCAACTCTACAAACTCCCAGCAATGATATAGAACAGATCGAAAGATTAACGCAAGTAATCACCAATATTGTTTCTTAACAACAAACTCAGATGATGGCCCATCTAAGAACACACTTGAGTCAGCTTATTGAAAGTAATATTGCAGCAAGTCTTTCTTTAATGTCAACAGTTCCACCCAACAATGTAAATCAACTACCTCATACACCCACACAGCGGATGGCCACACTTCTTGCTGTGGAAGAACGAACTTTTAGAGAATTATTTGGTATTGCTTCACAATCTGATCAACCAAATCACTCACAGAATACGATTCCTTCTGGAAACCCTAACACAATTTTGAACTCTTCATCACATGGTAACTCCACCTCCTCAGATTTAATCTCGCGACCAGATAAGGTGCTGCAGATTATGTCAAATTGGAATATAAAATTCAATGGTGGTATTAACGGTTTGTCTGTGGGTAATTTTATATATCGTGTGGAGGCCTTAACAGCACAAACTCTTCAGGGAAATTACGACATCCTCTGTGGAAATGTTTGCTCATTGTTTGAGGGTAAAGCCAGTGATTGGTTTTGGCGATACCATCGCTCTGTCAGTTCTATCAGATGGTTTGATTTGTGAAGGGCATTACGAGAACAGTATTGACTCCAGAACTGATGTGGACATCCGGGAATTAATACGCGACCGCAAACAAAAACCTAACGAATCTTTCGATACATTCTATGAATCTATTGTGACGTTAACCGATAGATTAAAAACTCCATTGAGAGATGAAATGGAATTCACTCCCTAAAATCCAATCCATTTTAAACATGGAAATAAAATCCTTGCAAATGTTACGCGATACCTGTAGAAGACGCGAATTTTTTATGCAGGACATGCGCCGAAAGCATGGTTTAAATATCTCTAAACCCCATTCATTGCCTCGGAGGCTCGCTGAGTTGGAAGTAGCCGAAGGAGAAGCTTCAAGCGTTATTAGCATACCTGATGATGATATAGCAGCTATAAATCTTATATGCTGGAATTGTGGAAATAGTGGACACCGGTACCAGGACTGTTTGGAACCAAGGTCAGTGTTTTGTTATGGCCAAATTGTACCAAATGTGCATCAAAAAACAGAAAAGTGAGTGCACAAGAGTGTGCACATCCGACCTCCCGAGCACAACTTTCCGGTCTGGGATAGAGATTCTGAAAAGACCACAAAATAATTCCCAACTTATACAACCAAATTTTTATGATACCAATACAGGAGAAATGCAACAGCCACCAATCCGAAAATCAGATGTTCCTATTAAAAACCAAGCTAATGAAGCAGTTCCCAGGCTAGGTCCGTTGAAACCATTACATGTCCGGATAATGGAGTACAATCTGGCGCGAGAGCGAATATTCAAAGAAACACATAAGAAGTCTAGGTCCGCAGTTCGCTTGAAATCCTATTGGGGAAAAATTAAAAAACCTAAAGAAGAAGATAGTTTGTTCCATTCTAGGCCGTCCATCAGACATTCGACCCTATGCCAAGGTATCTTTATTTGACAAAAAGAGGCTCGGACTGCTAGATGCTGGTGCATCAATTACAAGTATTGGTTCTGAGTCAGCTAAGAGCTTTTTGGATTCAAACATCCCTTTCCAAAAACTCAAGTCTACTGTCCGCACAGCAGACGGGAGAGGTCAAAATGTTGCTGGATTTGTGAAAACTCGCATTACCTTTAAAGAAACCGAAATGCCAATAACAATATTTATTATTCCAAGCCTGGACAGAGATCTTTATTTGGGGATAGATTTTTGGGACACATTTAATTTATTGCCGCCAGAACTTCGGCAAAATCGGTTGCTATCTTCAGCTGGTCTGTTTGAAGTTTCTGTTCAGGTACCATTGACTGAGAATCAGAAGCAAAAACTAAGTCAAGTTATTTCACTTCTTCCCTCATTTCCAAACGGGGATTAGGTCGAACTAATGTTCTTTGCCACACTATAGACACTGGGGAAGCAAAGCCCGTAAAGCAGCGCCACTATTCAGGTTCTCCAGCGATAGAAAAACTAATTTACGACGAACTCGATAGGATGATATCTCTAGATGTTATAGAGGAAAGTAATAGCGTCTGGCCTTCACCTGATGTTCTTCACAGGAAACCCGATAAAAACAGATTATGCTTGGATAGCCGCAACTTGAATTCGGTAACCATTGGAGATGTGTATCATCCACCCCAAATCGAAGGCATCTTAAGTAGGATGCCTTTTGGCAAATTCCATTAGACCAGAAGTCCCGAGAAAAAACAGCATTTACTGTCCCGGGGAGGCCGTTATATCACTTTAAGTTTATGCCCTTCGGATTGTGTAACGCCACCCAAACCATGGCACGCTTAATGGACAGAGTAATACCACCTGGTCATGTCGAAAGACACCTGGAAGTTCTGAGATGGTTAGCGAATCGGTTTCGTCAATCAGGGTTGACTATAAATGTAGAGAAAAGTCATTTCTGTATACCTTGGTCACGTTGTCGGAAATGGCACTATCCGAACCGAACCTGATAAAATTTCGGCAATCACCGAATTTCCGGTCCCCAGATCTGTCAAACAACTTCGGAGATTTTTGGGGATAACTGGGTGGTATAGAAGGTTTATACGGGACTATGCATCTATTACTGTGCCCTTGACTGATTTGACTGGTAAGAAACATTTGTTTGGTCCGAAGAAGCCCAGAAAGCTTTCGAAGTTTTAAAGTTCTGCCTGAGTACAGCCCCTGTTTTGCACAGTGCTAACTTTTCGCAACCGTTTTTCATACATTGCGATGCGAGCAAAACAGGTATAGGAAGTGTTTTGGTGCAGATAAATGTGGAGGGTGAAGAGGTTCCTATAGAATTTATGTCAGGGAAACTAAACAAAGCCCAACGCAATTACTCAGTCACCGAACAGGAATGCTTGGCAGCATTGCTGAGTGTAAAAAAATTCAGGCCGTATGTTGAGGGACATGAGTTTACTATTATCACTGACCATGCATCCTTGATGTGGCTCATGTCCCAGACCGACCTAAGCTCAAGGCTGGCTCGATGGGCTTTAAAATTGCAGGCGTACAAATTCAATATACAGCATCGGGGTCGTATTCAGAATATTGTCCCGGATACACTTTCTAGAGTGAACTCTAATGATATGTCAATCATTGGGATCGATAGTTTGTCCGAAATTGAAAATGAGACTGGATTTTTTATCGATTTAAAATCGGAGTACTTTTAAGTCTGCTGATTTCCTGCATCTGTTGGAAAATGTTGGGAAAAATATTCATCAGTTACCTGACCTTAAGGTAATAGATGGCTATTTGTACAGCTTCACTTGACGATGACCTGGTTTGGAAGCTGTGGGTGCCGAAGGAACTAATTCCAGAGGTGTTGCGGAAAGCACATGACCACCTTTATCATCGCACTGTGGAATAAACAAAACCTTGTCCCGGATTCGAACTTATTTCTTCTGGCCTAACTTAGTCGCAGATGTTAAAAAATATGTGAATAACTGTGAAACATGTAAATCAGTGAAACATCCTAATACTGTCCTTAGGCCTCCAATGGGTAGAACTCCGGATACATGTAGGTTTTTTTCAAAAGCTATACGTGGATTTTCCTGTTCCTTATTCACGATCAAGATCCGGTAACATAGGCATATTTATTACATTAGATAATTTTTCCAAATTTCCCTTTATACACCCTGTCAAAAAGTTTACTGCAGAAGTCGTTGTCCAATATCCAGAAAAGGAACTTTTTCACACTTTCGGCGTTCCCGAATCCATTGTTTCTGACAACGGTTCGCAATTTAAGTCGGTTATTTTTAATCAATTACTTAAAAAGTATGGGGTGAATCATGTGTATACTGCTGTTCACTCTCCTCAAGCTAATGCCTCAGAGAGAGAGTGAATAGCGTTAATTAAATTTTATATACACCCGGACCAGAAAAATTGGATGAACTTCCCCGTATTACTTGGCGTTCGGACAGAATATGACTACCAACGGCGCAGCATATTTCCTTCTTCGTCGATGGCAATGGTTCGGAAAGTTATTTTGCGGTTAAGGAACAGCGACACCACGTTAGGTAATATATCCGTATATTTCATGTTTCCTAAAATTGCAAAATGTAGAATACTTTATGTATGTGAAAGGGTTGTTGCCTTTCCGCGATTTTCTAACGATTGCTTGAAGTGTTGAGAGATTAGGACCAACAGCTAACAACTATACATTCAGGGGAATAATGTGAAAGCATTAAAATTAAATATTTTAAGAACTATTCTTCTGCATTTTCAATTTCATAATCCAAATTCCAAAAATGTATATTTTTGAAATTAAAGTAATTTATTGAAAATTAATTGTTTACATTTTTGGAGACATAACTCTGACACTTGTATTACGTTCAAAAACAAATTTATATGTGGTTGTTGTTACGATTTTGTACAACAACACTTGCTGTTACCTGTATTTTTCTACCATGAAAAAAGGGGAATACCATGGTACAATAAGGAGGTAGAACAACAAATTATAGGCAGCAATTTGTTTTCATTTACTACAACAAGAGAATGATTAACTTAATTTAGAACTATTATTGTCTTATTCTAACACGTATGTATTGTGAGATGCTACTTGCAAAAGAGACATGTTAAAGTTATATATGTATAGAAACATGTACGAAATTGATTAAAGGCTTGCTCTCGGCCTGAACAGTTGCTGACAGCGGGCTGAGGGCTGTCAAATAAATATTCTCTTAAAACTAAATAACAAAAACAATTCGAATGTGTCTGCTTTGCAATGTTAAACAGAGCGTTTACAATTATAAACATAAACAATTGAAAATAAATATAATGAGTGAGTGATTAAAGTGTATATAATAAAATAAGATAAATCACAGCGAATTCCAACTAACCATAATTTGGATATTATAAAATATAAAAATTAATGGCGAGATGGAAAACCAAATTGGAAATCCATACAGCAGAATTGGACGAATGGCTGCCTTGTATAGTAGGAGTTTAGTCTTTTCTGGTAAGTACTTATTGTTAAATAAAAATGAAAATGTTCCAAATACTTTATTCGCTCTTTCTATAGTAGATCGAACATGTGAATTAAATTTAAGCAGCATATTAAATGTTACTCCACGGTACTGCATGTTTGCTTTAAAAGGGATTTCCACACCTTCTAACGCCGTTCGTAGCAGCTTACTTTCCGGTACCACATGTTTTGAACATTTCCCCCATGCGTTCCTTATGCAGATAGCTTGAGACTTGCAGCATTAATGCATATACCCCATTTTTTATAATATTGTTGTATTATGAATAAGTGCTCCTCTACGTGACGTAGTGCATACTCTGGTGAAGCATTATGTGCATAAATTAAGCAATCGTCTGCATAGAGAATTGCTTTTGAATGAAATGTAGAGTGAGGAAAGTCATTTAGGAATGTGTTGAACAGAAAAGGTGCTAAGACACTCCCATGAGGAACCCCACTGTTAACTGAACCTTGGATTGACTTATCGTTTTTTATTTGTACAAAGAATTTACGATCGGAAAGGTAGTTTTGTATTATTTCCTCGTATTATTTTGATTAAAAATGGGTCCACACCCAGTTCAATGAGTTTATATACAATTGCTTTGTGGCACACGGAGTCAAAGGCTTTTTCTATGTCCAAGGATATGGCTACAGTACTGATACGATTTTTCAAATTTGCTGTAGTGTCGTTGTGGAAATTTAAAATGTGTTGAATGTTTTCATTGGAAACCAAATTGAAAGTTAGATATATGATTTGTAATGAACTCATTTTCTATTTTTTCTTTTAGGACATGTTCAAATATTTTACCGAGATTTGATAGGAGAGAGATCGGACGAAATCAGCAACACTTTCGCTATTGGCCTTTCTTGGGACTGGAACAATTTTTGCTAGCTTCCACATTTCGGGAAAGTAGCCATTATTGATAGAGTTATTACAAATGCATGTTATAATTCGCAGAGCAGTTTCAGGAAATTTGCGCATACAAAAATTTGAGATTCCATCAACTCCACTTGACTTTTTATTATTGGCCTTTTGTATAATTTCTTTGATTTTTTCAGGATTGGCGAAATGGTAATTATCTGTATTTGATATTGAGTTGAACTGTCTGTCGAATGTATATATACTTGGAGATATGGATGTGAGACAAGAAGAAATTTTGGATTGAAGAATATCAGTTGGAAATTCAGTTATAGTTTCTTGGAAGGAAAACGTATAGTACTGGTGGAAATAATTTGCAATTTCAGAATGATTAAAAACATTGGTGTTGTTGACCTGCAATTGCTGGCAGAACGGGTATTTCTTTCTGCCGCTGAACTTATAAATCTCTTTAAAAGCAGATGGGCCAGGTTTAATATCTTGGAGACGATTGTTGAATGTGTCTGCTTGTTCAATGCTTATTGATTCTTTTATTATTACTTTCAGAAGCTGAATTTGTTTGGATAATATACGATCATCGCTGCTCATTCTATTTCCTGTTCTATGAAATATCTTTTTTAATTCTTTCTGCCATTTATGTTTTACTTTTTAAAGCCGTTTGAATCTCTCAGAGAGAGGAAAGAGACCGTTGCTGATTGTGATTATCTGTGAGTGGGCATCGTGAATTGAGTTTAAACAGCTGTTGAAGGAGTCAACTAATCCATCAATATCTTCATTACTAAGATTAGTTTCTGCTGAAGGTAAGATGTGTTGAGAAGCGTTTTCAAGATCCCTACGGAAGTTCTCCCAATTTGTATTTTTGTAGGAAATATATGAAGGAGTAGCATTTAAAATCAAGTCGGTGCAATCCATTTTTATTGACATTTTTAACGGGAAATGGTCCGAAAATGATGGTAAAGACGAAATTACGAAGTTTGGTGTTATGTTGTCCAACAGATTGGAGCTGACAAGAAAATGATCCAAATAGGGAGGGCCATTCGGATATGACGGTGACACATCGCATACTCGAACTACGTCTAATATGTTTGTTTGCAGCCAAACTTTCAAAGATTTTCCGTTGGTATTCTCTGCAGAGTCACCCAGTCTGTGTTTCTTGAATTAAAATCCCACCGAAAATAAGGCCGTCATATCTTGCACACACTTGCATGAGTTTATCTAGATCAGCTTCCAGCTGATGAGCAGAATAATTGCAAGGGACGTATAAAGATCCCAACGCGAATTTTTTTCGAACTGAATTTTGTAGACATTCAATTTGAATCATGCATGCTTTTACGCCGACATCACTGATAACAATTTTTGTGTGCAATATGGACTTTTTTATTAAAACGGCTACGTGGCACTCTTGGATAAATCCCACATCGATGTTATTGGCCGAAAGCGTTCTTTGCAGATCAATTTGTCTACTTTTGTCATTAATAGATCTAACATTGAATGTCAATAAATTAAATATTCTATGGATCGTATTGCTGCTTGACTTTTTTAAGAATTCTAAGGAATTCTGCTTTGGCTTTTGATTTTTCCATGTTTTTAAAATCTTTTAAAAATATAAAAATTTTTGTTAAAGTGACATTTGTTCAGGTTCCAAAAAGGTAATCAGCCAGTTTTAAGAAATCTGTCACTATTAGTGGTTTCTGATTGGTTGAGTTGTTGTCATTCTGTCTAAAATGACTAGCAAACGATTTGTGTGGCGATGTATATGCCATACTAACGGCTTTAACATTTCTCATAGCTGTGGCTTTTTCTTCCTGAATTTTACTTATTTGAGTCTTTTTAAATGTAAAATATTTTTTATAAATTGGGCAACCCTTAAAATTCGCTGGGTGTCCAAAAGCTTGGCAATTTATGCAATATGGATCTGAAGATTCAGATCGTACTCTCTGACAATTACCAGGCTCGTGGAGTTTGTCGCATTTAACGCATTTGAATTCTGAGTTGCAGTTACGCGAGATATGACCCCACCGCTGGCACCTGTGGCATTGGGTCTCGCTATATTTTCTGTTGGGTTTTTCACAGTATACGTCCTGGTACCAAATGTTTTAAATGTGGTTTACATCTCCAGGTTTCTTTCCTGGGAACAATGACACTAAGAATAAACCTGTGTCAACCTGAGTGGTGAAGTTTGTGACTGATGCCACAGTGTTTGGGACAAGTAAGTCTAACTCGGCTTTAATTTCATTTCCGCCCTTGTAACTATAAAGGCCCCTTAAAATTAAGCCAACCTGTTTCAATTCCTTTGGAGTAAATGAATACGTGTGGATACCTTTCTCTCTCAAAAGGGACATCATTGAAGTATGCACCTTGTGGTCAGCAAAGTACAACTTGCTTTTGTTTTTGTTGACATTTTTCACTTTAAACCCAGATTCTGGGACAGATTCTTTGAGGGTATCAACTAGTGTTTTGATGTTGACGCTAAATACAAAAATGGGGGACACCATTTTGTTTTTGGTTGTGGCTGTGGTTTTCCTTTTGGCGGGTTTGGTTTGATTTGTGTTTCATTGGCAGTAGAGGAACCTTGTATATTGACATCAGCTAATACACTAAGGATGCCAAATCTGTTTTGGTCTAGAGGTTCATGGTTGGTCAATTTTTCTTTCAGTTCAGAAATGTCGATGTTTAATGGTGAAATCTCGTTGTCAATTCGCATTCGTTTGCGTTCTTTTGCATTGACTAGGTTTGTTGTTGTTTTACCTGGCTGTGCCAAAAAATCTGTGTTGTTGGAAGTTGACGCCACCGCTTCCACCACGTCAAACTCCATATCTGGTAAAGATGTAGACATCATTCATGCACAGAAGATGCAATTCTGATGCCCTAATGTTGAAATTTCAAAAAAATAATTTAATTTAAAATTTGATTTATTTTCCGCTTTAAAACAATACGTCTGACTTGATCTGATTTTTTTCGCATTGCCAAAATTTATATTCATAAATCCATTGTATACACTAAAGGTCTGCACAAGACGAATTGTATGAATTATGCTTTTTTTGACACACTGACTTTGTCTATTCAATCATGTGCTATGTATTTGATAGACAATGACAACCAACAACATCCCCCATTTCGATTCATGTGTGCCATTGTCTAAGGTTCGATCGTGGCATGGCTGACTCGAATATTTGCATGGTGTTCTCCATAAATGCAGGGTGTCAACGATGACATCGAACCGTGTCATCGTCAAATTGTGTGTCATTTGTGTACGTGTGCTTACATATTGAGAGAGTGTGTGTGTGTATTACTTTCGACGGTGAGGGAGTGTTTTTGTGTGTGCTGTAATTTTGAAGTAACAAACACGGCGTACATTAAAGTGAGTACGAAATCAATAATTAAAAAATATTATTTATAACGTAGTTGAGGGCAGAGATATTAAGAAAATTTATCAGTTTTTTTTAATAAGGATTGACATTTTGGATTGTTTCGTCAATAACCGAAATTTAAAAATTTTGTGTGGACCAACTATAAGTACCTGAAATATGTTATTATTCGCCAAGAAATACTTTATTATAAAAAATGTATTTTTTCACATATCGGAAAAACAGGTAGCGATTGCGCTTTGCCTTCATTACGTGTGTGTCTTTTTCGTTGGCAATTGTTTCATTATTGTTGTAATTTTTGCGATAGAACATGTTTGTATGACACATTATTCAACATCCCCTTTTATTGGTCATTACATGTTATGACGATAGGTTTGAGTCTGACCGACATGACGAGACATCGAGCATTTGGTTGGATGTCACGTACTGTTATGCGTTTGATCAAACAGGGCACAACATGACGAGCGTTTTCTCTCCATGGCATAAATAGAGAAATATGTCACACTTGCAGCCCTTTAGTATACACACAAAATCAAAAATGGGCCCTGTTTTTTATGCATTGGAATTTGACAAATAAAATGACAGCAATTGCAGGGATGGGAATGCTAATTTGAAATGAGGTTACTTTTTTTCATTGTACCATGGTCAATACATTGCACAATAAAGACGAGAGAGGGCATAGCAATAACCTGAATACAATTTTTTACTTAGGGCTAAGGTGTATTTATAAGGTGTATGCATCAGCTACAACAACTAACATTTTACAATAACAACATTGTTGTTATAGAAACTCTTAACTCATTCTGACAATTGAATTTGAAAGAAAAAAAAAACAAATAATTGTAAAAAAACAAATTGTCTTGCTTAAAAATATTCTTTAGAAAGAAAGGCTGCAACTACATTTCTGTTATTGAATTTTTCGCGCATATTAATATAAGTTGTGTTCTAGAACCTACAAATTAGTACTAATTCGGCCACAACGCATTCCCGTACTCCAAAAACTAGCAAAACTTGCAGCTTTCTCGAGAAAAAAATGTCGCTGAGTGGTGCACATATCTGCTTGTTTTAGCTACATGAATTTGGCCGAGCAGAAATGTGCATATTGTTAATTTGACATTTAATTGGCTGGGCTAACAAGGTTGAAAAATGTATTAATACATTTCAATTTTCGCGCGTCACAACAAAAATAAAGGAAATGATCAGCTTAACAACTAAAAGAAAAGCCAATATTTGCTGTGCAAAAAAAAACAAAAAGAGAAAATATGGAGCAACAGGTGTATTCACTTTTGGATGATTCCAGCACTGAAGAGGCCTAGCTGAATGAGGAATCAGATTATTATTTGTTATCATAGATTATTAATTTTAACTGTCTGTCAATCTGTTTAGTACGCTATTTTTCGAAGGAATCAAAATAGGTGGTTTGAGTTTTGCATATATTGAAAAACTATTAAGGATTATGCTTTGAGGAATGTTGAATAATGTGAACTATTGGGTAGTATTCTGGTAGTTTCAGGTCATTCTGCATCTAAACGCTCCCTGCAAAGTATTTTCAATATAGGTAAACTATTAAGAATACTTCCGTATAAAGGTAACCCCGAAGAATGGTCAAACGGACGTAAAAATTACAAAATTAAAAATTTGCACATCTAAATTTTTTATTTATTGAAATATATTATTAAGAAATATTAGGTAGCGTAATTGTTTTACAATAAAGGTAAAAGTATGTCACGGTTAATTTTTACGGGTTCATCATTCTCGACACATGAATAATTTTTAAGATTTAAACCAAACCAGCTGTATTTTCTTTGCAAGAGCAGACGTCTTCAACAACTAACGATTTCGCAAATAATTGCATAGATTTTTTCCATTAAATATGTTCTCATTTCCGTTTGAGCGAAACATGTATCTGTTCCCAGAGCTTATATTTATAAGTAATGCACGTTATCTGTTTTATTTTTTTAAATTCATTGAAAAAATTATTTATTTATTTTCAGGGAAGGTTTTGTCGATATTTAAATTGAAAACTTAGTTTACAAACAACTAAGTTTACAAATTGACAACTAAGTTCACTACAAAAACAAACTTTGCTGTGAAAAAGATCTGCTAATAAGACTTGAGTCGAACTTGGAGAGTTTCTAGCGTTTAATTCGCATATGCTAATTCGCAATAAGTTCGAAATATATACTACTTTCCAGAGAACGGCCCTTGTAAGCCAACATCTACACCAAATATGCCTGATGAGCCGCTTAACCAACGGCGAAACGCGCCGCATAGTGGTGAGTGTGTGATAGTGTCTATCTGGCTTTCCTTTTCACTGCAAATTTCAGATCATTAAGCTCGTCTCGAAAGAGAAACAAAATACAAAAATGAAAAAAGTTAAAAACCATATGATTGTCAATTACACCTTATTAAATTCACCTTGTTTAATAATGTCATAACCATGGTACAATAAAAAGGTAAGGTAGAGCTCCCAGCTGATTACAATTTCTAAGCGTGCCCGACTTCTGCCAATTTAGCGTATGTATTTGTTGTTTTGAAAAATAAAAACAAAATATTTTCAGTATCAATGAAAAAATAAACGTTGAAAGTAGTATTTATTCATATTGGTGTCCTTCAGCAAGGAAAATAATACATCTACCAATGTATAATTATGGTAGAATTAAGAAGGTAGTGTTATGCAATCATATGATTGCAATTTTTTTCAAAATTATTCTTTTGACAACATCTCATTGTCAAAATTTAGTTGTGTTCCAGAACCTACAAATTAGTACTAATTCTGCTACAACTCGTTCCCGTACTCCAAAAACTAGCAAAACTTGCACCTCTCGAGAAAAAAATAGCGCTAAGTGGTGCACATTTCTGCTTGTTTTAGCTACATGAATTTGGTCGAGCAGAAATGTGCATATTGTAAATTTGACATTTAATTGGCAGGGCTAACAAGGTTGAAAAATATATTGATACATTTCAATGTTCGCGCGTCACAACAAAAATAAAGAAAATTATCAGCCTGTTCCACGATGTCGAAAGAACACGTTCGCACAACTTTTACACGACAAACAGCTGATTTCCGTTCCACTAAAATCCATCAGAACGAAAATTTGCACGAAAATCAAAGCGAACGAAAACGTAAGCGTTTCAGTGTAATTTTGCGTTCCACTATCTTTTTTCTTTCGTACGCATGCGAACACAAATGTCAAAATCAGTCACTTGTGTGTTTGCTGTCGAATGATAAAAATTAAGGAAAATTGTTTTAACATAAACATTCCTTGATTGAAAATGGAAAGAAAAATGTAAGTAAAAATAATAAATGCAATTTAATCTGTGAACAACAAATATATATTTTTTTATTTTCTCAATTCCAGCACGAAAAAACTACACAGCTGCGGGCACTAGTTGAGTATATGGGGGAGAATCCTAAGTTCGCCAGAGGAGTGCCAATTTTTGGAAGCAGCAGGCAATCCCATGAAGACCACTGGAAGACACAAACCTAGAAAAAATCATTTTTTTATTATTTCAAAAATGTAAAAATACAATCATACTTACTGGTTGTTAGGTACTTCAAATAAATTCGAAGCATCTCTTAAATGCCTCCGTGGCACAATTTGAACCTCCTCCTCATCATCCATAAAAAATAGGGCTACTGATTCATTTTTTTTTCTTTTTTAAGAACACAAATAATCTGAACACAATCACTAGAAATTTTATTTTGTTTGTTTATTTACAATTTGTTTGTTTACAACTGAACTGTCAGTTGAGACAGAGCCACTGCTGCTTTTTCGCGTTTAAATTAGACATTTGGCGCTTTTTTTGCCTTATTTCGCGATTAATTTTGCCAAAAAATATTTTGCAACACTGAATCACGTAAGGCTATGCGAAAGAAAGAACGAAAGTTAGTGGAACGCATTCTTATGCGAAAGTGAGTGAGTAGCCTTCGTTCGTACAAATTTTCTTTCGAGATCGTGGAACAGGCTGTATAACTTAAAAACTAAAGGAAAAACTAACAGCCTGTTCCACGATCTCGAAAGAAAATTTGTGCGAACGAAGGCAACTCACTCACTTTCGCATAAGAATGCGTTCCACTAACTTTCGTTCTTTCTTTCGCATAGCCTTACGTGATTCAGTGTTGCAAAATATTTTTTGGCAAAATTAATCGCGAAATAAGGCAAAAAAAGCGCCAAATGTCTAATTTAAACGCGAAAAAGCAGCAGTGGCTCTGTCTCAACTGACAGTTCAGTTGTAAACAAACAAATTGTAAATAAACAAACAAAATAAAATTTCTAGTGATTGTGTTTAGATTATTTGTGCTCTTAAAAAAGAAAAAAAATGAATATTTCTGTAGCCCTATTTTTTATGGATGATGAGGAGGAGGTTCAAATTGTGCCACGGAGGCATTTAAGAGATGCTTCGAATTTATTTGAAGTACCTAACAACCAGTAAGTATGATTGTATTTTTACATTTTTGAAATAATAAAAAAATGATTTTTTCTAGGTTTGTGTCTTCCAGTGGTCTTCATGGGATTGCCTGCTGCTTCCAAAAATTGGCACTCCTCTGGCGAACTTAGGATTCTCCCCCATATACTCAACTAGTGCCCGCAGCTGTGTAGTTTTTTCGTGCTGGAATTGAGAAAATAAAAAAATATATATTTGTTGTTCACAGATTAAATTGCATTTATTATTTTTACTTCCATTTTTCTTTCCATTTTCAATCAAGGAATGTTTATGTTAAAACAATTTTCCTTAATTTTTATCATTCGACAGCAAACACACAAGTGACTGATTTTGACATTTGTGTTCGCATGCGTACGAAAGAAAAAAGATAGTGGAACGCAAAATTACACTGAAACGCTTACGTTTTCGTTCGCTTTGATTTTCGTGCAAATTTTCGTTCTGATGGATTTTAGTGGAACGGAAATCAGCTGTTTGTCGTGTAAAAGTTGTGCGAACGTGTTCTTTCGACATCGTGGAACAGGCTGTAATATTTGTCGTGCAAAAACAAAAAGAGAAAATATGGAGCAACTGATGTATTCACTTTTGGAAGATTCCAACAGTGCATGAGGAATCAGATTATTAATTATTATTATAGATAATTAATTTTAACTTATCGTCTTCAATAATCATTTTTTTACATTTTGGCGTCCTTTTCGGTAAGGTTTCACCAGTCCCATTTAGACTGCTTACTTTTGGAACTTTGACATTTTATCGCATTTCTGCTGATTTTCCGTTCCCTTATTTTTTGAGCACACCTAAATGAGAATGACATTTCAAACTGTTCTTTCTTCTGCTAGTTTTTTTAATACTAAAAAAGTACTGGAACACAACTTTTATGTTTACAAATCCATTATCATGGTAGAATAATACAGGTAACAGCAAGTGTTGTTGTACAACAATCGTAACAACAACCACACACAAATTTGTTTTGGTAAGTAATACAAGTGTCAGAGTTATGTGTCCAAGAATGTAAACAAAATTTATTTAATTTTCAATAAATAATTGTAATTTCAAAAATATACATTTTTGGAATTTGGATTATTAAATTGAAAATGTAGAAGAATATTTCTTAAAATATTTATTTTTTAATGCTTTCACATCATTCCCCTGAAATCAAGTAGAAACCAAACAGCATACATACATAAAGTGTTCTACATTTTGCAATTTAAGGAAACATGAAATATACGAATATATTACCTAACGTGAGTTGTGTTCCAGTACTTTTTTAGTAGTAAAACTAGCAGAAGAGAGAACTGTTCGAAATGTCATTCTCATTTAGGTTTGCTCAAAAAATAAGGGAACGGAAAATTAGCAGAAATGCGATAAAATGTCAAAATTCAAAATTCCAAAAGTAAACAGTCTAAATCGGACTGGTGAAACCTTACTGAAAAGAGCGCCAACATTTAAAAAATGAGTATTGAAGACGATAAGTTAAAATTAATAATTTATAATAATAATTAATAATCTGATTCCTCATTCAGCCAGTCCTCTTCACTGCTGGAATCATCCAAAAGTGAATACATCAGTTGCTCCATATTTTCTCTTTTTGTTTTTTGCACGACAAGTATTAGTTTTTCCTTTAGTTTTCAAGTTGATCATTTTCTTTATTGAAATGTATCAATACATTTTTCAACCTTGTTAGCCCTGCCAATTAAATGTCAAATTTACAATATGCACATTTCTGCTCGGCCAAATTCATGTAGCTAAAACAAGCAGAAATGTGCACCACTCAGCGCCATTTTTTTTCGAGAGAGCTGCAAGTTTTGCTAGTTTTTGGAGTACAGGAACGCGTTGTAGCAGAATTAGTGCTAATTAGTACTAATTTGCAGGTTCTGGAACACAACTGTGGTGTCGCTGTTCCTTAACCCCAAAAAATTTTCCGAACCATTGCCTTTAGTGTTTTGTTAAGCACAACAGAGATTTTTCTATTATTAGGCAAAAAATATGTAGTGAAATTTTACATCAAAAAAGGGTATACCTATCAAGAAAATCAAGAAATGGAATTAAATCAGACGGAAATGCTTATTTGAAACGACTTTACCTTCTTAATTTTACCATGTGTATAATAATGAGCAAACATTTTTTTTTTGTTTTTTTGCAAACATTTTTTTTTATAAATTACGCCTTGGCGGAAACATTTGTGATTTTAGAGTGTATCACACTAATGTCGAGCATACTAAAGCTGTGTCCAGTAATACTTTCCGTTAGTACGTAGATTACGCACGGTTGTTGGAAGATCTATTTTTGTATAGTAAATATGGGTGAATAAGTCCGAATTAAACAATTAATCCTGATAATGTTAAACAATTCGAATAAAATGTTTGTATCTAAAACGCGCTAGTAGTAGTTGTGTTCCAGTACTTTTTTAGTAGTTAAACGAGCAGAAGAGAGAACAGTTCAAAATGTCATTCTCATTTAGGTGTGCTAAAAAAAAAAAAATAAATAAAACTAAAAATTAGCAGAAATGCGATAAAATGTCAAAATTCCAAAAGTAAACAGTCCAAATCGGACTGGTGAAACCTTACTGAAAAAGACGCCAAAATTTAAAGAAATGAGTATTGAAGACGATAAGTTAAAATTAATAATCTGTAATAAATAATAATCTGATTCCTCATTCAGCCAGTCCTCTTCACTGCTGGAATCATCCAAAAGTGAATACATCAGTTGCTCCATATTTTCTCTTTTTGTTTTTTGCACGACAAATGTGAGTTTTTTCTTTAGTTTTTATGTTGAATGTGCACCACTCAGCGCCATTTCTTTCTCGAGAGAGCTGCAAGTTTTGCTAGTTTTTGGAGTACGGGAACGCGTTGTAGCAGAATTAGTACTAATTTGTAGGTTCTGGAATACAACTAGTGTTTGTATTTAGTTTCGGTCATGGTAGAAGAATACAGGTAGTCGCATCGACACAGCTGTTGGTACAATGAACTGTCAAATCGATTTTGGAATTGAAAATATTGAAAGAAAAATAATTGAAATTTGTAAAAGTTGTTAAAAAAATCATATTATAACAATCACCGATTTGAGTCGTATAAGAAAACAATTAAAAAATATATGTATTTTTGATAAAACATATTAAAAATTTTGACATATCAATGTTGTTGTTTTCTTATACCTATATTCTTCTACCATGGTTTTTCTATTGACCTTATCAAAGCGCTAAGGGCGGAAACACATAAAGCGCAAAGGAGTTTTAGGTTGACTTAGTTCGATTTTTGCCCCTAGGCTCCTTTGTTCATTTCCGAAGAAGCCAGCGGATGACTTAAGCCAGCCAGATAAGCGCTTTATGTATTCCCACCTTAACACTGTACATAAGTCTAGCAAGATCATAGATGGAACATAGTTTGTCAGCAATAGCCAATGCTGGCGAAACCAGCTTGGACCCAGTCAAAATGTTATATTAATCATCTAAGAAAACACCTAATAATATTATTTATCAGCTGGCGGCTGAACTTCCACACAAATGGTGGATCGAACTTACAGGGATAAAAAGGTCGATTTTTCAGCTAAGCAACATATAAACACAAATCTTTTCAAAGACTATGAAAATATAAAGATATTGTCAGCTCTATATAAGGTTGGCTAGTAAGTAATCCTTATTGAGAGCATGGCATAATTACATAAGGTAGAACCATGTGTAAAATTAAGAAGGTAAAGTCATTTCAAATAAGCATTCCCATCTTTGCATTTTCTGTAATTTAGCTTGTCAAATTTCACTGCATGGAAACAAGTTCCCATTTCTGATTTTGTATGTACAATGGGTTCATAAATATATACTTTGACAGTGAGATGTCGTCAAATGAATAATTTTGAAAAAAGTATGCAAACATATGATTGCAAAGCTACCCTCTAAATACAATTTTTTTTCTTTTGGTGCCCTTATTTTGTCAAAACATATACACATTGTGTATGTGTGTGTATTGTTTTGAATAAAAATACAATAATTTGAAATTATTTCAAATTTAGTTGCAAAATAAATGCAATTTTTCGGTGTGAATGGGCAACAAATTGTACAATTTAGTGATAAGACTGTATTGTCCTACTATTTAAGATTCATTCTTGTTTCCCAATATAAGGAAATAAAAATAAACGAAGGCTAT